TATATTGTGATCGATCGGAAGTACAGATATAATATGTAGGTACTTTATGATTGATTGAAAATACATACATCCAACGTACAAAAATATAAATTGTTATTTGTTTTAATTCCATAACTATTTAAACAATTAGGTGGACCGATTGTTCACAATAAATGGTTATATTTTATACATTTAAAATTTTCATTGGAGGGGAAAAAATGTAAAAAAAAAAAAAAAAATATATATATATATATATATATAGAGAGAGAGAGAGAGAGAGAGAGAGAGAGAGATGGCTGTAACTGCAAAGCTACAATTTTGTTGACATGTACCAAATCAAAATTCATATTATATGAAGACATCATTCGTGTATTTAGTGAAACTCTTGGGTACAACATGCAAATATAAAAAGATTTGTACCAGAGAGATATTATATTACAAATTTAATGTTCTACATTATAATTCATTTTGTCCCCTCTCATAATTGAATTAATAAAACTAGCCATCGCTAAATAACAACACTAGAGAATTTGGGAGTGAATTAACTGTACAAAGCATCTTAAAATAATTTAATTATAATTAATGAGAATAGAAATATGAACAGAAATCATAATAATAATTATTTTTTAAATGGAAATTTATTAATAAAAGCACAAAAACATACACTTAATATAAAACATCCATGCATAACAAACAATAAAACACAACCAAATTGAAAGCTGAAAGTTGGGACTAATGTGAAGCTTGATGCTGGAAGCTTGCAGGAATCACGATGAAAAATAACAAAGGAGCAACACACCACTCATGAAAACAAAATTTGGAATCACAAAAACGAATATACTTTGATTGGTCTAAGACCATAATATTTACTTAAAATCAACTGAATCTTACATTCAAATAAGAAATACATAAAAAATATATTTGGGTTCATTTAATTTTGATACTTCTCACATCAAACTTAAAATCTTATCCTAGTTAAAAATTAATTAAAAAAGAGTTAAATTACGGATCATCTTTATCAAATAATAATTATTATCATCATCATCACACTATTATTATTATTGTTGTTGTTATTATTATTATAGATGCCATTTATTCTAAATGCCATTTACCTTATTGTGAATTTTACCTTTCTTCACTCACTCTACTCTCAACTACCTAACCATGTTTATTGCTTTATTCTGCAAGTTTATTGCAGTGAGAAGAAACGAAAAAATTTGAGAAAAAAAAAAAGGATCATTTGAGGGGAAAAAAATTAAAATATTATATATATATAATATATATATATATATATATATATATAATATATATATATAATATATATATAATAGCTTTACAGTTACAGCTCTCTCTCTCTCTCTCTCTCTCTCTCTCTCTATATCGCGTCTCCCTTTCGTTCAAGAAATCGCGTTTTCAACTGATGAATTTCGATTAAGCGACGTGAATAGTTAGTGGGGCTTGTTTTGCGAAATTTCAAATTTTGAAAACTTTCATTATTTCTGATTCGGCCCACATATGTTTTAATCTTTTCATTTTAACCCATTTTACTTGTTTAATTAATCCTAACTTTTCCACGTCATCTTCTCTAAATTATAAAAAATTTAATGAACAGTTTCAAGGCCATTTTCTTAAATACATACTTGGGGGGACCGGGCAGCTAAATTTTCTCGTATTTTTCATCCAGACTTTACACAAAGCATCTTTTGCGCTGCTGCCGACCAATCTCATTGCTAGTTGCCGCCTACCGTCACCCATCTTTGCAGTCACCATGGACCGTCATCGCTCAACCTCCGTGAACCACTGAACCTTCCCTTCACATTGTCTAGCCAGTAACCTTCTCCCATTTTCATCTAAGTTCACTGCCAGTTGCGACGCCGGATTTCCAGTCACCGTAAAGTCATCGACCGTCGTCGCTCAACCTTCGTGAGGCATGAACCTTCGCTTGACATTGTCTAACCCTCTCCCATTTTTGCATTTTGTCTCAGAGGTCTCAGTTCATTGCTAGCTGCTGTCGCTGTCTTTCCAGTCACCGGTACAGCTGTCTCAGTTCACTGCCGCCATCTTTCCAGTCACCAATTCAATCAATTCTCATTTCTCTCTGAAACCCTGTCTCTTTTGCTAAAAACCTAAACCCATTTTCAATTCATTTCAGGTACAGTTGTCGTCTGCCGTTGTTCCAGTCACCGTTGACCGTCATCACTCGCTCTCCGTGAATCTTCACTTGAGAACACACAATAGCAGCACGTGAGCTGGTGGCCCATTTGAATAAACTTGTCAAAAAAAAATTTTGGGCCAAAGTGGTCGGTTTGATTGAATTGGGCCGAATTATCCAGCCTATTTGAGTTAACTGGTTTTATAGTTAACTGGACTGAATTTTAGGTCAGATTAAAAACTGGTTTACAAAGAAAACATGACCAGTTTCGGTTCAATTTTTTTAAAAAACCGAAAACCGGTTGGATTCAAGTTTAGGTATTTCCAACCTCACTTTTGAAATTGGATGTTTTGCAACAAAGTTATTCCCCCCCTCCCCGGTACACTTTTCATACTGTATTCTATTCTACTATCTTATCTAATCTAGTGAAAAACATGTTTGTCTTAACATTGACTATTCAATTTAATTTAAAATCCAATCATATTCTATTTAACTCAAAATATTTAACAATTACCTTTCACAATAAAAGTTTATAAAATAATAAAAACATCCCCACCCAACCAAGCCACTATCACCCGCTAGCAGCCACTGTTTTCGTTGCCACCTCCGACCGCCGATGTCGGAATGACACACGACTAGCTGGATCTGACCGATCATGCATCGATCTTTCCTTTTTCGACTAGATATATCTGGTTGTTGACGGCGGCTAGAAATCTGACCGTAAATCTAGTCTTTTCTGATTATTTGCACGGTAGATATAACCGAAAAAGGCAAGATCGACGCTCGACTGGCCAGATCCAATTGGTAGGGCGTCATTTCGGTGATTAACAGCCACCGTCTGATGGTGGTGGCCGACTTCCGGCAATCGGTTGGGTATATAGAAGTGTTTTTGTTAATTTATAAACTTTTATTATAGGGAATAATCTAAATATTTTTAGAAAATGTTTTCTTATAATGTACCAAACACATTTTTAAAATCATATCCTAAAATTTATTCAGAATAGGATTTTAGAAATCCTATTAAAATAAGTGTACTAATCGCAGCCATTAGATCATATAGGACTATACGATTAGATAACGTTATTTGGTTCTTTATCAATCATTTGAACTTAGTTGCACTAAAAAAATATGAGTTTTTTGTACACATTGACAGCCACGGTGCATGTGTATTCAACCAATAAGTGTTTGTAACGTCAATATCTGTGATCTACGCATGTCTCCTAATTGATTGCATACACATACAAAAGATATGGAGAAAATACTACGTCAGGTTACATGATTTGTAAATATATTGTGATCGATCGGAAGTACAGATATAATATGTAGATACTTTATGATTGATCGAAAATACATACATCCAACGTACAAAAATATAAATTGTTATTTGTTTTAATTCCATAACTACTTAAACAATTAGGTGGACCAATTGTTCACAATAAATGGTTATATTTTATACATTTAAAATTTTCATATATATTTAATTATCAGATTTAACTGCTCTTTACCTTATAATTAAAAAATTATTTATTTTTAGTATTTACTTTTTCTTTTTAATTATTAATATTAGCCCACTTTATTTATTCCCTATCGTACAATTGAATAAATTTCCTTTTTTCTTTCTTATTTTATAAATTTAAAATATAAAAATATTATTTATATTAAAAATAAAAATAAAGAAAGAAAATAATATTTTCCATCCCTCCAATTAATTTGAAGCACAAAAAACGAATATACTTTGATTGGATCTAAGACCGATAATATTTACTTAAAATCAACTTGAATCTTACATTCAAATAAAGAAATACATAAAAAATATAATTTGGGTTCATTTAATTTTGATACTTCTCACATACAAACTTAAAATTCTTATCCTAGTTAAAAATTAATTAAGAAAAAAGAGTTAAAATTATCGGATCATCTTTATCAAAATAATAATTATTATCATCATCATCATCACTATTATTATTATTGTTGTTGTTATTATTATTATAGATGCCATTTATTCTAACATGCCATTTAACCTTATTGTGAATTTACCTTTCTTCACTCACTCTACTCTCAACTACCTAACCATGTTTATTGCTATTATTCTTGCAAGTTATTGCAGTGAGAAGAAACGAAAAATTATAGAGAAAAAGAAAAAAAAAGGATCATTTGAGGGGAAAAAAAAAAGAAAATTATATATATATATTATATATATATATATATATATATTATATATTATATATATATATATATTATTAAATATAAGCTTACAGTTACAGCCTCTCTCTCTCTCTCTCCTCTCTCTTCTATATATATATATATATATATATATAGAGAGAGAGAGAGAGAGAGAGAGAGAGCTGTAACTGTAAAGCTACAATTTTGTTGACATGTACCAAATCAAAATTCATATTATATGAAGACATCATTTGTGTATTTAGTGAAACTCTTGGGTACAACTTGCAAATATAAAAAGATTTGTACCAGGGAGATATTATATTACAAATTTGATGTTCTACATTATAATTCATTTTGTCCCCTCTCATAATTGCATTAATAAAAATAGCCATCGCTAAATAACAACACTAGAGAATTTGGAAGTGAATTAACTGTACAAAGCATCTTAAAATAATTTAATTATAATTATGAGAATAGAAATATGAACAGAAATCATAATAATAATTATTTTTTAAAAGGAAATTTATTAATAAAAGCACAAAAACCTACACTTAATATAAAACATCCATGCATAACAAACAATAAAACACAACCAAATTGAAAGCTGAAAGTTGGGACTAATGTGAAGCTTGATGCTGGAAGCTTGCAGGAATCAAGATGAAAAATAACAAAGGAGCAACACACCACTCATGAAAACAAACCAGCATTAACCATAAAAGCTGGTATCATGATCAATAAGATGAACCACTGGAACATGAGCAATCTTCAACTCATCATTTCTGCAGCTTTCAATTAGAGCAGGACACTCTGTAATCTTCAATTCCTTCAGGGAAGTAAGGTGTTCTATCCCTTCTGGAAGAGATGATAATTCGTAACATCTTGTAATCTCAAGTTTTTCAAGTGATGTGAGATTTTGCAACGACTCCGGTAGTGCTTCTAACTTTTCACAGTCTTCAATCTGCATGTACTTCAGAGTGTCAGTAGATGCTTGAAGAAGAAGTTGGGGCATATCCACCAATGATTCTAAATTAACAATTATGAATTTTTTAAGACTCAACCTCAGCTCACGATCTTCTTCTAGTAATTCCATCTTCAAATTAATCTTGGGGCAACTCCCAATCGCTAACGTCTCTAATTTTTTCAGGTATTTGATAGTATCTGGTAACGACGAGATCACAGGATTGCGGGTTAGAAACAATTTTCGAAGACTTTTTAGACCTTGCATCCCTTCACACAAACTTAGTAGACTTTTGCAGCCAACTACGTGCAAACGTTGAAGGGAACTCAGACATCCAATTCCATTTTCTGGAAGAAACTCCTCTTGTGTGGTTATTTCCAAGTATCTAAGGCAGATCATCTTTCGTATGTTATTAGGCAAATTCTTAATCTCAGAACAACCCCGAAGTCTTAACATTTGCAGTTTTTGAATCTCACAAATAGATTCAAGGATCTTCTTTAATGCATCATTCCAAGCTAGATCAAGGTATCTCAGATGTCTCAATGTACTGATAGAATCCGACAACACTTGAACATGTATATCACACAAGTCTAGTAGTCGAAGGTACTTGAATTTGGATATATCTTTACTAATAAATGATCCAATAACAGGTGCATCTCTGTATTTCTCTGCTGCTGGAAAGACAATGCTTCGAACACTCCTTGAGTTATCAACAATGAGTTGTAGAAATTCTTCACCACATAACTCTGTGTCACCATGTGAAAAATGCCGCAATTTCCTATCAACTTTTTGGCTTCCAAAATTTATGAATGCGGACTCACCTTTTGTCATTGATATTGCAAGATCATGCATAAGATCATGCACCTTAAATGTCCAATAAAAACCATGATCCAAGAAGTCCACTAAGAAACCCATTGACCATAAAACTTGCATATATTGATCAGCAATATCTTCTAGCTCTTCAGTTTTATCATTGGTTTTAAGAAGTCCAAGTGCCATCCAATATTGGGCCACATCATTATTGTAATAAATATAATCCTTTGGAAACAATCAAAGATAAGTAAAACATCGCTTCAAGGGAGATGACAAATGATCATAGCTCAGTTCCAATATAGGTAAGATGTCTTCATTATCTTGATCCACCTGCCAAATGTCATTGTTTTTTATTTTCAACCACTCTCGTTCGTCTGTGTTTGCATAAAGTAAGCTCCCTAAGGATCTCACAGTCAATGGAACTCCTTTACATTTTTTTACAATGTCCATCCCAATTTTAATGAGCCTTGGAAAATCTTTCCCTTCTCTATCTTTAAACGCGTACTTCTTAAATAATGACAAAGACTCCTCTTCAGAAAGACCTTGTATGAAATGCGAGGGAACAGTGCTCATTATTTCTGCAACTCTTTTACTTCGTGTGCTCACAATAATTTTACTTCCATTGACACCATTAACCAGTAAGTCTTTCAGTTCCAACCATTTCATCGGCTTCTCATTCCAAACATCATCCAAGACAAGCAAAAACTTTTTACTTGTCAAAATTTCTTGCAAACGCTTAGGAATTTATCTCCTTTTAACTTATTACAATCCTCACCTGTTGCAGAATAAATAATTTCTTTCATCAATCTGGTGACATTGAAGTCATCTGACACGCATGTTCACATCTTTAATGGAAATAACTTATTTACTCTTTCATCATTATAAACCATTTTAGTAAGAGTGGTTTTACCTGAACCCCCAATTCCAACTATTGGAAGGACAGAGACATTAATGTTGGTTGGTTGAATTAAAAAGCTCATGATCTTTTTTTTTATCATCCTTTCTTCCAATCACACAAGAACCTCCGAAGAAGGGATCAGTCTCCCTCTCCTTTGGAATTACATGCGTATCTTCAGCAGGAGTACTCTCAATAAGAGAAAGTCTACTCCTATCACTTGCGATCTGATCTAGCCTTTCTCTAATCTCCTTGATTTTATGACTAATTTCATATTGAAAACCAACAGGATTAGAGCTTGAAAAGCATTGCAATACCTTTATTAATGTGCTCCTCTTTTGTCTCTCCACTTCCCTCCCGGAAGCTTGAAGCTCGAATTCTTCTAAAACTTCCTCAGCATCAAGGAAAACATCTTTAAGCTTCCCAAGCCAGTCACGTAGCTGATCATTTTGTGCCTGCTTTTTCTCAGCATCCGAGAGCACGGCTTTGATAGTGCTCAGGGTTCCCTCCAGGCTTTTTAAATCACTTTCAAGATTCCACAACAAAGACACTTCCCAACCCACAAGAGAGCCTATCTTCGTCAGAACTTCAGTCGCAATGTCAAACAGAATAGATTCTGTCATTTTCTCTCAAAAGAAACGAAGAGAGGGAGAATAAGGTAGTTGAAGATAATTGAATTAGGTGAGAATTAATGGATGCTTAGTATGCACCTATCCTATATAGCTATACCACTAACATAAAACCTTAAAAAACCATGATAAAACATCGAAAAGTCAGCATCCAAGGAATAAAAAAATTCGTTCCAGTGCTGGGGTTGGTATGAGAATCTCAAATCTAGCGATACTGCTAACAAAAAGCATCAAAAAGTCGGCATCAAGGAATAAAAAATTTGTTCAGTGCTGGAGTTGGTTTCAATCTACCGACACCACTAACATAAACCCTAAAAAATTCAGCATCAAGGAATAAAAAATTTGTTCAATGCTGGAGTTGGTCTCAATCTACCGGCACCACTAACATAAACCCTCAAAAATTCAGCATCAAGGAATAAAAAATTCGTTCGCCATTGACCATCGGCATTTGTGACTTCTCCTATCTGTCGAATATTAAACTTGATTTGGGCCAATAATATTTGGGTTTATGAGTTAAATGATTCTGCTTAAGCCCAATGTAGGGCCTACTCATTTATTAGCCTCTACAAACCATAGTAACAAACCACCAAACGGACAGACGATGAAGAAACAAAACACAAGAAACAGAAACAGTAAAATTAACCCTCAAAATTCCACCAAGTTATCCTCACTTTATGAGAGGATTCAGGCAATGAAACAAACCATTAAAACCATAAGCTAAAGCGCAGAGTTCAACATTACTTGTTGTTTGCCAAGGAGCGCATGTAGCCTACCCTAGCAGTTAAATAGTTGGCAAGCTTTTCTCTTTGGTGGGGGGCGCGCAGCATGGTTTAAATGAGTGGAATTTCTCGATGAAGGCCATCAACAACCTTCATTTTTCCAACTTCTTCCATTACATTGAGCCAGTGAGGGATCCAACACAATGCTATCTAGATTCTCAAAATCTCAAATATCCTATGGTTAGGCTCGCCTATCTAACAAAAAACAGAATTATAATGAGATGGGAAGTCATATAGTTCTCATAGAGCAAAAATAATAATAAGAAGAAGAAGCAAGAGAAAAAAAACTGAAAACATGCACAAAATTTTGAAGTAATTTTGTTGGAATTGGAAGCAATAGAATCTAATTAACAAGATATGCTTATGCCAATCGCTATGATACATTGATGACAACTGTTTCTTCCATAAATGAGATATCTATTTTGATACTACAATATATCATTCCTCAATCTAACATCAATTCCCTTTTTATTTATTTAAAAAATTATTTATTTTTGTGTTTCCTTTTTCTTTTTAATTATTAATTTTAGCCTACTTATTTATTATTCCCACCAACCATCTTGTGCAATTGAATATATTTTCCCTTTTTTCTTTCTTATTTTATAAATTTAAAAAACATAAAAATATTATTTATAAGAAAATAAATATATCTTTACTTAAAATTCTCATCCTAATTAAAATTAATTAAGAAAAAAAAGGGGTCAAAATTTTCGGATCATCCTTATAATAATAATAATAATAATGATAAGTAAATAAATAATTGAAATTTGAAACAAAGAAATAAAAAAAATAAAAACGTGATAAAAAACTGTCGTCTCGTCTGCTTCCGAAACTGGACGTTTTTGCAACATAAAGTTATTGTTATTGTCACCTGGCTCTATGCTACTCCAACAATCACTGACACCTTCACAATTACGTTATTGTTATAATTTCTTGAAAATTATAAGCTGATGACATAGATACTTTATTTCCCGTGAAACCAAAGCCCACGCATTGTTGGAATTTGGAGGGGATTGAAGATTTTCCATCTTATTGTTATGACAACGTAAAAATCTCAAACCATGCACTGTGTAATGCAATAGACCAATTTTGGAACCTAAAATGGGACTACATTGGAAGTTGAATGGAAGATTACAGAAGTTGATTGTTATGGCTCTATACATTGGAAGGAGTAGGCTTTCAAATGGAACCGCACCTTCATCCAGTTGAAAAATGACTCATTTAGCAAAATCACATGGGATAGAAATGATAATGAAAAAAGGTTTAGGGACTTACAGTAATAGGCCAAAAAGTTAGTTGGTCCCACATTGATTAGGAATGAAAAGTGAAAAACTTTTGGGCCTACAATAAGGACCCAAATCATTGTTATTTTGTATCCCAAGTTGTAATTCCATTATACTTCGAAATGGATTGTGATATTAGGCCCACGCCAAGCTAGATGCCTACCATAATCAGTGGGAGTTTTGTTCATAAAGAGTTATGACAAAACATATCGAAATAGATTATAATATTAGGTCCACGGCTAGGCCATAGTGAACCTAAGAGGTCACACATAAAAACTAAGGAGAATGGAGAAATAGCCAAAGAGAGTTGATTATCTAAGGTTGGCTAGCACCTACCAATGGTAATAAAGTTATTTATATGAAACATTTTCTTTATATTAAATTGGATTTTACAAGGGGTTGTAATTGTAAACAATTTGTAAACAATTTAAGGGTTAAATTGTTATGTAAACAATTTAAGAGTTAAATTGTTAATTGTGATTAAATGTTAATCCAATGTTATCATTTAAAGAAGTTTAACAACTTCATAACAATTATGGAATTGTTTAAGGAAGTACAAAACAATTATTGAATTGTTTACAAGGATTCCTATATAAAGAAAATGATATATCAATTTTTGTGTAGAGAAAAATCTCTAAGAACCCTAAATCTCCCTCTTGGTCAAATTTCTTCTTCCCTTGGTGTGGATACTCTTTTGCTTAATTTCTCTTGAAATTAACAGTCTCCAAGGTTGCTAAGGGCTTAAGGTAACATGTTCTACCTTACTTATTTCAATTTGATTGAAATTTATTTTTAAACTATGACTATACTTGTTATAGTATGATATGCTTGATTTTCCATGCATCTATCTTTCATCCTCATCAGGACTGGTTGTTTAATTTTGAAAAATTTGATGGAGTTGTTTATATGGGCAGTGATGATGCTTGTAAAACAACTAGGATAGGTTCAATTTGGTTGAAGAATCATGATGGCTTAACTAGAACGCTGACAGATGTTCGGTATGTACCGAAGTTGAAAAAGAATCTTATCTCTTTGGGAGCCTTGGAATCTAAAGGCTTCATGGTGAATATGTGAGATGGAATTCTAAGAGTTTATTCAGGAGCTCTTGTGGTAAAGAAAGGCACAAGGAGAAACAACTTGTATTACTATAATGGTAGTACGGTTATTGGAACGGCAGTTGCAGTCGTAGAGGAGGATGCAGATTCAGAAATACTCAAGCCGTGGCATATGTGTGTGGAGCATACTTAGCAGCAGGTGGAGTTTGAAACAGCAGTTGAACTAGATAGTGTCCACGAGACAGAAAGTGATTCTGAGGTGACTAATGTGGATACTATAGATGAAAATGAGATTTTACCCCAAGAATCTCCTCAGCAACAGGAATCGATTGCATACAAGAGGCCAAGACGAGAAATTCGCAAGCCTGCTTGTTTCGCTAATATGGTGGCTTATGCACTTCCAATCGTAGGTGATGATATTCCTACTACTTATAAAGAAGTAGTTAGGAGTTCAAATTGTGAATCATGGAAACCGGCTATGAATGATGAAATGCGATCCCTACATTAGAAGACGATTGGATGCAAATGGGTGTATGCAAAGAAGA